GACAACAAAAGCAGTATGCTGCTTTATGTAGAAGTGAATATATCAATAAGGAACGATTGACCTCTTGTCCATTCAGAAGGCGTCGTTTGAACCAAAATGCAGTCATAGAATGCTCATCTTTGGCATCAAGTGGACCTTCATTATGTTGAAATTCATGTGCTCCAACTTTAACAATTTCTGTTCGATGTGCATGTGTTACAACTGCTGAGCCTGTTGTATCAAACTTCATAAACCCAATATCCCTGTGTGTTAAAATATTTATTAGGTCATCCTCTTTTAGCTTAGCAACACTAGTATGTGGATTTGTTTCTGACAAAGTGGAATCCTGTTGTTTATTATTATTATTGTAGCTTTCAACAGGACAGAGAACAGTTTCTTCATTGTTTTCTTTTTCAAATGAAATAGCATGTTCACAATCTTGCACTTTGACCTCTTTGCTGCAATCAAAAGGAACAGGTGTTGGCTTACTGTTGTCATCACTTGCAGCAAGGAAAGCTCTCATCAATTTGCTTGACTCCACCAACGAAGCTGCAAATTGTGCACGTCTTTTGCGTCCCTGTGCTCCACTTTCTTTTTTCGATATAATGGGCTAAAAGAATAAATTAATAAATACTGACTACACTATTTAGTTACAACATGCAAACTGTCATATGAAAGGAAGCATTCTACTTTCCTAAGTTCCTAACCACAAATTATATTTAAATTATACAATTATAGTTACAACTCACGACTAGATAGGCACATCTGGATCTGGTTTCACTTTAACTGCCATTATTTAGACCACCCATACTCATGTTAATTAATGTAACACAACAGTAAGAAAATAATTGCAGATGAGTGTATATGCTGGTAAATCATGCTTGTGAGCACCATATAAATTACTAGCAGTTGCTAAATCACATTTAAAAACTCGATAGGTTTAACTACACAAACATTACAGGAGACAAGTCTGAAATTGCTTGAATGAAAATTACACACACTGTGGAGAAAGGTGTAATCATAACATAATACAAGCCTAGGGGCTCAAAAGCTATATTTAATATTAAAGGTTTTGACAGAATGAGAAAACTTAAATATAGGCTAACTAAATAGTGGTGCTAGATTAAGTTCCTAGATTAAGTCGCTAGTATATCTAGATCTAACATTAATGTTAGACCTGTTATT